TTACGCGCTCAGTGCTGATAGTGATAATATAATTACATTTCGACCTTTTAATCGATATACAACATGTTGTTTGATGATAAAATCTCGTGTACTTAGAGGACTCTCACTCTCATACTGACCACAAGTAGATATTAGCTGTATTATTTTATCTATCAATAAAACGATAAATCATCACATCTATAACTTCTACAGGTAGTGTGAAACATGATTGGAGATGACGAAGGGTATTTATTGGCCACCGGCCTATTTCTCCTCAACAACGGGATCCGACAATATTGTACATTTGGGAGTTGTAACAAGTACGTCTATTAACACCTTATACTAATTAACTTACCCACACGTGCATATCTCACAGATGCACCTGGCTACCATTCTGTTAAATTATCCTGTGGGTTAGTGAAATACAGCTCAAAGTCTGAACGCCAGTAGATGAAGGAGATGATACTTATCACACTTCACCTCAACGTTGTCAATACCGCTCTGACCTGTTTATACAATATGGTGGATGGCAACCGGTCCATTTTACGGTGGCCCCAACAAACCTTATAATTACCTGTGTCGGTTAGTTGTATCCTCAAAAGTTGAGCTTTCTGAAGTGTTCCATGAAACGTCCTGTGTATTAAGCATTTTAAAGCTATCACAAGCAGATGTGATATAGTTTCCCTTTGATTTATATATCAATGAACGTGGATTGATAAATAGAATTCAGCCCGGCCACTTCCAGCTTCCATACAGTTTAAACGAGGTACTGTAGCGCATGTCTGTTTTTCATTCGTTTACCAATACGCATGTACACACGACTTTATATCTATATATAGTATGAAAGATCAGTACAATAATCATTTTCAGTTTAAAACAGCAAATCAACAACATATAAAGCATATATATTATGATATCGTAGTATACTTTATTAACATGGAATATATTTTTAAAATCTATACTAACCAGGGACGTCCTTGTACTGACATAAGACCGGTTGTAGCACAAGATTAGCACCATCTCATGATAAAAATTGTATGTCAGCTTAGGAAAAGTGGAACGATAGACAATACCTTCATTTTATACACCACCGTCATAAATCTGTTTTACAGAGGAGGAGGAGGGGGGCGGCGGGGGCGAGGGGAGATTGAGAGGGGCGTGGCTGAGATATCTTGAACTGTAATTTTGTCTAGATATAAAATTATGAACAAGCTCTGATTACAATGGAAATTAAATTTCCAATTCTCAACATATTCTGCAAATTTCCAGTTTTGTTTTTTGTTTTCAGATCCCTTTTCCATCGATTCTTTAGGCAATGAGATCTGTTTTATTTTCATTACGAGTTGTCATAGGTTTTGTGGGCATTTCTTCAATTTCGAGGGGTTGAATGTATTTTGTGTGATGCATACTTGCTTTTGTTTTGGAATTCGTTACATTCGGATTATATGTATATAACAAGTGTTATGTATACAAAAATCATATGATATTTTCTGACAACAGATCAAAAGGTTCCATTCTGTTCAATTATTCTGTTGGTTAGTGAAATACAGCTCAGAGTCTGAACGCCAGTAGATGAAGGAGATTACATTTTGCACACTTCACCTAAACGTTGTCAAGACCGCCCCGTCCTGTTTATACAATATGGTGGATGGCAACCGGCCTATTTTATGGTGGCCCCAACAAACCTTATAATTACCTGTTTCGGCTAGTTGTGTCCTCGACAGTTGAACTCTCTGAGGTGTTCGCCAATATCCCTGAAATGCCCTGCATTTTAAAGCTATCACAAACAGATGTGATATATTTTCCCTTTGATTTATATATCAATGAACATGAAAAGAAACATAAAATACAGCCCGGCCTAGTTTAGCTTCCGTACAGTTTAAACGAGGTACTGTTACGCATGTCCGTTTTTCATTCGTTTACCAATACGCATGCACACACGACTTTATATCTATATATAGTATAAAAGATAAGAACAATAATCATATTCAGTTTAACACAGTCAATCTACAACATATAAAGCATATATATTATGATATCGTAGTATGCTTTATTTAACATGGAATATTTTTAAAAAAATATATACTGACATAAGACCGCTTGTAGCACAAGATAAGCACCATCTCACGGATAAACATAGTGTGTTTGCTTAGGAAAAGTCGAACGATAGACAAAACTTTCATTTTTATACCCCACAGTCTCGAATCTGTTCTATAGAGGAGGAGGAGGAGGAGGAGGGGGGCGGGACTGAGATATCTTGAACTGTAATTTTGTCTAGATATATGAATCATGAACACGCTCTGACTGCAATAGTAATTAAAAGTCCAATTCTCAACATGTTCTGCAAATTTTCAGTTTTGTTTTCAGATCCTTTCCCGTCGATTCTTTAGGCAATGATATCTGTTTTATTTTCATTACGACTTGTCATAGGTTTCGGGGGCATTTCTTCAATTTCGAGGGGTTGAATGTATTTTGTTTGTGTGTACACGTGTGTGTGGAATTCGTTACATTCGGATTATAAGTATATAACAAGTGTTATGTATGCTAAATCATATGATATTTTCTGACAACAGATCAAAAGGTTCCATTCTGTTCAATTATTCTGTTGGTTAGTGAAATACAGCTCAGAGTCTGAACGCCAGTAGATGAAGGAGATTACATTTTGCACACTTCACCTCAACGTTGTCAAGACCGCCCCGTCCTGTTGATACAATATGGTGGATGGCAACCGGCCTATTTTATGGTGGCCCCAACAAACCTTATAATTACCTGTTTCGGCTAGTTGTATCCTCAACAGTTGAACTCTCTGAATTGTTCGCCAATATCCCTGAAATGCCCTGCATTTTAAAGCTATCACAAACCGGTGTGATATATATTCCCTTTGATTTATATATCAATGAACATGAATAGAAACATAAAATACAGCCCGGCCTAGTTTAGCTTCCGTACAGTATAAACGAGGTACTGTTACGCATGTCCGTTTTTCATTCGTTTACCAATACGTATGTACACACGACTATATATTTATATAGTATAAAAGATCAATACAATAACCATATCCAGTTCAAAACAGCCAATCAACAACATATAAAGCATATATATTATGATATCGTAGTATGCTTTATTTAACATGGATTTTTTTTTTAAAAATCTGTACTGACATAAGACCGCTTGTAGCACAAGATTAGCACCATCTCATGATAAAACTTATATATATTAGCTTAGTAAAAAGTCGAACGATAGACAAAACATTCTATTTTATACTCCACAGTCATGAATCTGTTTTATAGAGGAGGAGGGGACGGGGCTGAGATATCTTGAACTGTAGATATAAAATTGTTTTGTTTTTATTTAAAAAATGCTAATTACCCCAAATTTCATTTTTCATATTAGCAATTAGATGATTTTATTTATTAGTTCGTTTTAAATAATATAGTGTAAATGCATCTTTCTCACTTGAGTTATGGTTCTAGGGGGAATGGGCTGAGTTGTTCTTAGGACTGGCTGTGCCTCGATTGGCCGACCCGTAATAGGGTATATATTAATTATAATATAATGCTATTTGTGTAAGTGCATACTCTACGCGCGTATATTATCTGGTGTGATAGATGGTGTGAATCTATCTGTGTATGTAATATGTACCTACCTGTGTATGCATGTGAGTATGAAAGTTGTGATGACACCTGACTTGGGACGGGCTTTACGATTGGTCAGGACGGGTGGCTCAACTTACCTGTGTCCGGGTGTTGGCCAGTTTGGGCACTCCGTTCCTGACCAGCACACAAAGCAGACACATTAACTTTCATTGGGAGGTGGGTAATCGTAAGACTTTTGACAGAATACTGGAAATATTCAGAATGTTGATAATAGAGGAAAAAAGTGAAGGAAACCTCCACGCCATGGCTGTGGGTTTTTTTTTCAATGAAAAGAACATATAAATGAATAAATGCGAATAAAACTACACCACGGATCTGGTTTCTGTTGGAACTGAGAACCCCGGTAACAGACCAATCGGGTCACCGTGTCCTTGGCTGTCCAGCATTTGTCAAGTTTTAGCGCGCCAGGGTCAGTTTTTCTCATGAGTCCCTAGACCATTGAGTTTAATTGTGAATGTTGGACAGTTTAATTAATTCATGCAGCTCGTAGGTTTAGATTATTGTGTGGTCTTTTTGTATGCACGTGCTGTACATATAGAAGTAGAAGTCTGTGTCTTCTGTGTACTTAGTTTTCAAGAACTGTTAAACATTTTCGTTATTTGCCTGCTGTGTGTTTCTAATGCTTTCAGTGTTGCTATAATTTATTAATCCCTTTCACCCAGTTTTGCATATAAAGTGATGGACATTTTGAGACAGTGATGGACATTTCAAGACATTAAAGCGTGTGGGTGAAAGGGCTTTATTTGTGTAATGCTTCAGTGTTTTCTGTTTATTAAATATGCCAAACCTTACTGGTGTGTTGTGATTTATGTAAGGGGGGTAATTATGAACAAGCTCTGATTGCAATCGAAATTTCCAATTCTCAACATATTCTGCAAATTTCCAGTTTTGTTTTCATATCATTTTCCATCGATTCTTTAGACAATGAGATCTTTTCATTTTCATAACGACTTGTCACAGGTTTTGCGGGCATTTCTTTAATTTCGAGGGGTTGAAAGTATATTGTGGATACTTGCCTGTTTTTGGAATTCGTTACATTCGGATTATAAGTATATAACAAGTGTTATGTTTGCTAAATCATATGAGATTTTCTGACAACAGATCAAAAGCTCAAGGTCATCAGAAATCAATTGAATAAGTTAACTCATTATTTGTTCAATTATCTTTGTCACGAAAATTAAATATGAGGAAAAGTGTGGCAGGGACCTCGAATCTGGCCTAGTGTTATGTAAACTCCAGAGGACTTCCAGAAGCCGGATAAGCGTCACAACCGGAAGAAATCCGTTCGATATTTTGGCACTCGCGTGGAAACATAACACATGTGTTTCACAAGAGAATGCAATGTTTACATCGACTTTTTCACTGTTTTTGTAAAAAAATAATCACTTGAAGAGCCTGAAGATACATCAAGGGGAACACTGTTGACTAAATTACCGAATGGTTAAGTAAATTTCGTCTGATGTTACTTTCCGGTCTTTCAGATCTCGATTCATCACAGCGGTCTCATTTCCTGACAGTAACAAATGAAATCATGCTCTAAATTCATTTGGCATTGTATCAAAAACTCAAACTTAGAATAACTACAAGATTGGACTTAAATTCAAGAAAATGTCTTATATGACGGTCGTGAAATTGATACCGTTTAAGGGCAAATATCCTTGTTTTGTATCGTCTTGATATCGGTTTCGGACCGGTAGTTATAAGTGTCTTCGAGCGGCAATTTAGTTAAAATCACTATTGACCTGTGTGATACGGTATTGTACCTGGGTGTTTGGGTTGCTGCAACACTAATCACTAGCAGAAACTTAAGAAATCTTTTTAAAGACATTGTATGATATGATGATACAGGTTTCATGGACAAATTTGTGTGCTTTTTCTTAGTAAAAATGTTGTAAAGATTCGTATTATTTGATGTCATGATTTTAATAAGGAAAGTATTGCCTGTCATATTTTGAATTTCATCCTGTGAATGATGATATTTTTTTTGTACCGAGAGTAATAATTACAGGTGTTTTCTTATTAAGAAATAAAGGTGCATCAACAGCCATTCCCTACAAACCAATTAAGATATTTATGATTTATATTAAGAATTACATAAAAATTTACTTCTCATTATTCCTTGTTGCTTCCACAGGTGAACTGACAATGCGGACAACAACGGCAGAAAAGCTGGTTCAACTCCAGAGAAATCCATCCAATATTCGCAACATATGTATCTTGGCTCATGTTGACCATGGTAAATCATATATGTAAATGTAGGACACAGGAAAATTTGATGATATGTCTTGAAAAAATAGCGGGTATTTTTACCTTGTTACTGCCCTAATATTTGACAGACTACCTCAATGTGTCTTAACCATCTTTTTAGATTTAAAAAGTGTTTAAGACAATATCTTTGTACTAATAATTTTTAATGATATATTCCTTTACTTACTGATCCAACTTTTTTGTTGGTTCAAAAAGAGAAATTCCTTTTGTAGAAGACAACTAGCAAGAAAAACAGAATCAGCATACAGGAGCATGAATCATGTGCTTCACAAATGTACCTTTACATAGTTCATTAATCAAAATGTTGTATTTTGAAAAGAAAACATATTGAAAAATTATTGTTCTACTTAGATGTACTCAGTATTAATGACATAACATGGAACTTCTTTTAACAGTATATTAATAAATAGAAGCTTAAAAATTCTCTGTTCTTAAGACTTTTGCTAGACATTATTTCTTTATTTTATGTCTTTATGTTTTTTCATGTTAAGGTAAAACCACACTTGCGGATGCTCTGGTGGCCAGCAATGGTATCATTTCCCAGAGGATGGCTGGAAAGGTATGTGTTATACAACCGTTGAAGACTATTTTTGAAGTTATCTCCCCTGGCCAACTTCAAAGTTTGACCAAAAGATCATACAGCTTAAGCTTGCAGAAACTGACTTATAGCAACTTTTCTTCAGGGGTTTGAGGGGGGCATACTAAGTATATTATTGTTGTTGCCCATATATCTGTCCCACAAGTCTAGAATCAATGTCTTCCCTGTAGTGACTTATTTGGTATGAGAATTACATGTGATCAAAACTTGAAAAAGGAAAGTGTGAGAATGCTCTGAATGAAATTGTGTTTCATGGTGAGATGTTAAGTCCACAGTTACTGTGAAATAATGTCAAGTAGTGTTACTTATTTGTAGGGTAGTGTAGATATTTTTTCTGTTAAGTGATTAAAAATCATCAGAAAGTTTTTTCCTTCTATGTAGAATTCTTTCATTGTGCCATTCAACTTTAATACATATATCATAAGACCATCTACTGTAGTAAGACGTTATCAATGAACTATTCTCATTTTATCTTAGTTGCGATACATGGATAGCAGAGAGGATGAACAGACTCGTGGAATTACAATGAAGTCAAGTGCTATCTCGCTGGCTGTTCAGAAAGGTAATAAAGAATAAAATAAAAGCTAGCGCTCTGTCACTGAACACTCAAAGAGGTAACTACAATTTACCATGAAGTCTTGAGTTATATTAATGGTCTTTCACAAAGATAACTACAAATAGCAGTGACAACTAGCATTATCTCACTGGCCGTTCAGAAAAGTAACTACACTGAAGAATAGATAGCTGGAAGTAGGAACTAACCACAGGTAGTGTACATTGTACAATAAGAGAAATATTTCAAAGTTTGCTTGCTATAGACAGCTATAGACAGGCTAGCAAGGTTTAGATTACACGAAACTACTGTTACTGTATAAAGGACAATTCTTTCTGAATTCTTTATTTGTATGTATCAGTAGGAAGTTCATAGACTCTTGCATTTCAGTTACCTCAATACATATCTCACAGGTTGATATAAAATTTTAGAAATACCTGGGGTACTACCCATTGGGGAAAGAGGGCAATTTTTGGTCTGTTTTTAGATGTGGTTAAATCTTTTGGTTAGAATTCAAACAAGGGGATAAGGTAAACACTATGACATACATGTACACTACATTGATAAAATATGACAATGTTCAGGTCAGACTGGTATTTCTTTTTCATGATAGTATAATTTGAAAATATATTAAGTAAAATACACTAATTAACTCTGTTTAGGGGGAAATTTTCCCGGTTTGCATTATATTTTCTTGATGGAAACTTTGTTTATATTCAGAGGGGAAAACATATCCTGTTGGGAATACTACCCTATTCTGGCAGTACAATTTGTCTAGGCTTATCCCTATATCTCTATAATATGAATGTCTGTTGCAGATGCACAGGAGTACCTTGTAAACCTGATTGACTCACCAGGCCATGTAGATTTCTCCAGCGAAGTGTCCACAGCCGTACGACTGTGTGATGGAGCGGTAGTCGTGGTTGATGTGGTGGAAGGAGTGTGTCCTCAGGTTAGCTTCCTCAAACTTGTCTAAACACTAGCATGTCTTTCTTTCCTCTTTTTTTATCTTTATGTACATGTGTAGGCTTTATAAGTTCTTAAACCTCAGTCCATTTCCCATATCCCTGAAGACTCTTGACTTTTTTAATTTTGTTTTCAAAATTTCATTTGCATCATTGAGTACCATACATGACCTTTTTAGGGCGCATACGTTAAAAAGGGTGCCCATGCCTTTTTTCATAAAAATTTCATGGCTGAGTGTCCAGTTTCATTCAGAAATTATAAAAAAAATTACTACACTTTCATTTTTATTCAGAATATATAAACAGGTCTATTCTGAGGATTACTATGACTGCATTGTGGACATTGAAAGCAGGCCTGATTTCAATGTCCAGGGCTATTGCAGTTGTAGTAATCATCAGCATCATCTATATCACTGTCCATGCCACTAGCGCTACTTGTTTTCGGTTGAATGGCTTTCAAAAACACTTTCACATGCCAATATTCTGTCTAGACTTGGTCTTTAAATGATATGAAATGGTTTCGGGGGAATTCAGCTATAGTCTGCTTCAAATTTATGCTTACTCTTACTTGAACTGGAAGCAGTCTGCTACATACATATCACCTATAGTCCAGTTCATAAAACTTTTGAATTTGAAGTCTTATTTAGGGTGCCTTCAATTACCAGCACCCTATGCCCATATAAGGTCATATACGGTGAATGGTTTTATATAAAAACGCTGAAATAAGGATAACAATCAGACCTTGTTTAAGGTATTGATTCAAATCAAGTTTGTCTCCACATTGAGTGCTGTTTTCCTATATACTGGGTGTTTTAAGCCTGTAATTTGTGTTGTTTCACCTTTAATTTAGGTATTGATTCATCAGGGATTCTTACTTGAGGTTTTATTTTTACTAGACCCATGCTGTCCTGAGACAAGCCTGGCTTGAGAACATCAAACCTATTCTTGTCTTTAACAAACTTGACAGACTGATAATGGAGTTGAAGATGGACCCTCTAGAAGCTTTCTTTCATCTACAAGTTATTTTAGAGCAGGTAATGATAATTGACTAGGTGTGCATTACAATCTTGGAAGTTTACACTTAACAGCTGGAAAAGGGGAGATAAATCTTCGACATAGAACACGATAAAGAAGAATGTACCTATATATTTTCTGGGTTTGGATGCTATAAGTGCTAAAATCGAAACCTTTGTCAATGCAGAGTATATAGTATTCCGTCCTTTCCTTCCTTTTTAATGCTGAAAATTGACAACTTATTGATAAACACTATGTTAAGTTTGTATTTGTTTTGTTAAGGTAAACCTAGTGACCAATGAGTTGTTTACAACAGAGATCATGGCAAAAACCTCTAGTGTAAGTATTGATTATATAGCAATCCTTGTCATTTTCAGATTTAAAATTTTGAAAGTGTAAAAATAAAACATAATGCAGCAAACCATATATATGAAAAAAATTATATATATAAAAAATGAATTTAATAGTGATTTTTACCTAATTAAAAAATAAACAATTTGATTTCATGGACTTAGAATGATGAAGATAACATATTTTTTTCCTTACTACAGGCCGATGGGACAGAATCAGAAGAGTCAAAAGCATTGGTGAGAATTCCTATGGTCTTCTTCATACCTTACTTATTGTAGGTCAACTGTATATTACCAAGTTTCACTTGTAGAATGGGTTAGTTCACATCTACAATTTGGTAGTTCACATCTACAATTTTGTAGTTCATCTTCAGTTGTGTAGTTCACATCTGCAGTTGTTTTGTTATCATCCTCAACAATGAAGTTTACATCTACAACAATGTAGTTCACATTTACAACAATGTAGTTCACATTTACAACAATGTAGTTTACATTTACAACAATGTAGTTTACATCTACAACAATGTAGTTCACATCTACAACAATGTAGTTTACATCTTCAGCAGAGAAGTATATCTATTTATTCAGGTGTTGCTTTCTATGACCATATACATCTTCTATCTACCTATTCTAACTCCACCACATTTACCACTCATAATTACAGTCACATGATTGGACAATACAGGCTGATGATGAGGAAGAAGAAAGGAACATCTTTTTTTCCCCATACCAAGGCAATGTGGTATTTGCAAGTGCTTATGACGGCTGGGGTTTTACGTAAGTATTTTAAGGTTTTGATAACTGTTGGAACTAACACTGGTTTGGGGTTTTGCACAAGTTTGTGGTATTGATCAGCACTTCTCTGATGGCTGAGTTTTGTATAAGTTTGTGATCTTTATCAGTGCTTCTGTGATATTTGTCCATACTGATAATGGCTGGGGTTTTATATATACAGGTATTTATGACATTTGGGGAATTCACATTTTGTCAGCATTTTTGACTACTTAGATTTGTATTAATGTATGTTAAGTGCTTTCATTCAGCCATAAAAAGGTTTCCTCTATCACAAATTTCCTTTATATTTATGTCCCCCAAATGAAGTGGGGGGACATATTGTGTTTGCTCCATTTCTTATTATCATTATTTTTTTTTTTTTAACTATTATTATTATTTTTATTTATATTATTCTTATTTCTTCCACTTTCTTCTGCCGGCGAGGTTTCCGACGCGTTTCTCAAAACTATTGCATGGAATTTAACAAAACTTTACACACATATTCATACATGCAAGATGGAGTGCAGGCCACTTGAATTTTTTCAATCGGTCATCTGAGCTGTCAGCTGTGGTCAAAATTTGGCCAAATTTTAGATATCGTCCGATTTTTGTAAAAATTGGTATATATGTATTAGGTGGCACTAGGAGCAAAATGGCGTAGTCCATTTTTCATTCGGCCATCGATCGGTCATCTGAGCTGTCAGCTGTGGTCAAAATTTGGCCAAATTTTAGATATTGTCTGATTTTCGTGAAAATTGGTATATATGTATTAGGTGGCACTAGGAGCAAAATGGGGTAGTCCATGTTTGACATGATTGCAGGTCTGATTATTGTGATCATTTACTGCTGAAGGAGTTATTTGGAGACATTTGTAATGGTCCCCATTACAATTAGTACTTGTTATATTTTGCTTTGTCAGTTCCATGATGTCACACTGGAACTTCTAAAGATGTTTGTAGATGCTGCAAATCTTGATATACACCGCTTCTCGTATTATTTTGTCAATAATCAATATGAAGTATTTGTTATCAGGATCAACCATTTTGCTGAAATCTTTTCTAAAAAGTTGGGAATTAAGAAAGAAGTGCTACAGAAAACACTATGGGGAGACTTCTATCTGAACAGTAAAACCAAGCGCATCATGAAGGGTGCCCAGTCGAAGGTGAAGAAACCTTTGTTTGTTCAATTCATCCTGGAAAACATTTGGGCGGTGTATGAGTCTGTCAGTGTTAAAAGGTGAGTAGCCATACATACTCAAATTCAGTGGTTCTTCATGAAGGTTAAAGGTCAATGTCACACGCTATAAAAAGAGTATAGTTACAATAGAGTACTACCTCTCTGAAATTGATGACAGAAAATAACAGTTGCCTCTGACCATTCGAGCAAATGATTCATCCATTACTAAAATCTTTGTACGAAAAAAAATTGCATTTTGGGAAGTGTTATTATCATTTGTGTACTTCTCAGCCGTGATTGGTATTCACTTACGCATCTACATGTATACTTAAGTGTTCAGTAAGTTTATTATCATGGGAGTTACGCATGCTTACAGAGATGCTGAAATGACAGACAAAATTGTAAAATCACTAGACCTGAAGATCTCGCCTCGAGACATGAGACATAACGATCCTCGAGTTAAGCTGCAAGCCATTATGGGGCAGTGGCTGAGTGTATCCAGGGCAGTCTTAGGTATGTATACATGTCCTCTACTGGGAGGTCATGTGGACATTTCTCATTGCTTAAGTCTATGATAAGAATGACTTTGTCAAATTTTAATTCATCATAAAAGTAATTTACTCCAGAACAGTGTTTGATTTGTTTAGATATATTGCCTATTTCTTATTAATCTGGAGATTTTACGTTTTCCAGGTGAAACTGTAAATGTGTATGGTTTTGTCTTATAAAGGCTGTGAAAGCACTGCTGTCAGTCATTTGAGTGGTTTGAGAACAAATTCTGTCTGTAGGTATTTCACATGTATCCATGATCTTCATCTTGCTGCATATACCTGAATTACCTTGAATTATTTTTTAGGTATGATAAAAAGAGCACTTCATAAAACTACAGTGAAATATTATTGTAATTTGTTGTGTAACAGATGTGGTCGTGGATGAACTTCCGTCTCCACTGGAGATATCTGAGGACCGTGTGGAGAAGCTCATGTGTTCCCAAGGTCAGAGTTTTCTGTCCTTCCCCAAGGCCACACAGGAACTCAAAGATGGTAAGTTAAACTCAGGATCTTACGGGTGGTAAGTTTGTCAAGTCATTTAGGTCACAAGGAACTTAAGGAGGTTTAGTTATATAGAGACAAGGGAGATCACTCAGGAACTTAATGATGGTAAGTTAAACAGAGGTCATTGAAGTCACTCACAAACTTAAGGATGGTTAGTTCATTAGAGGTCATTGAGGTCACTCAGGAACTTAAGGATGGTAAGTTCAATAGATATCACAGTTCTAACAGTTGTATCTGAAATGAGGAGGAATTTTCCATAATAATGAAATATCAAGTATCGATGTAAGGTATGAACAACTGTTGTTTTACAGGTAATGGATGCTTCAAGGTTTAACAGTTGGTTAACAGTCTGTTTATAAATACAGCAGGAATTTATTAATATTTAATGATAGTGTTATTTTAAGTAGCCTTCATTGCCTGTAGCCTGTAAGCCTCAGGACAAACAGTCAACAGTCAAGAATCTCCTCCTTGGACATGTAATTGTTTGGGCTATCCTCAAGCCAGGAGAAAATGTTCTTGTTATCTCACCAATGGCTTAATTGTCTACTGTTTACTAGTGGTGTAATGATAGGTGACTTATCAACATAGTGCGATAGCTTTGCTCTCAATAGCAATATATTGATAGCATATTTTCAAATTGATAACTGTTGTGATAGTTTGTTCAACTATTGATTGTTAATGATAGTTTCTTTTAACTAAACGAAAATGTTACTTGAAAGCAAGATTTTTCATCCCGAGTTATTGCCAAACAGCCTTCATTATTTGTGAAAGAGTCTTTGAGACCTCGATCAGGGGGTAGTACTAAATACAAGGACAACACAATCACCTAGAATGGAAACAGAATTTTAAGCACAAGTTATTATGTAGATGAAAGTCTGTATCTTAAATATGTGTTAAATTATTGTTTCCAATATGATCTGATTAAATCTACAGACTACAGTCAGGAAGGTGGTGACTTTAACAACTCTGATTCATGGCCTAGACCCATCCTTGAAATAACTCATTTTTAAAAACAATATGATGGAAGGTAGCAGCATTTTGAAAATGGTAGGGTGAAGTGTCTCAAAACTGATCACAAGTAAACTCTTGTTTTTGAAAGTACAGACACTTTTGTTTGGTAAATAGCTTCAATTGTATATATATTTTCTTGTCTTTTCGTTATGACGTTACATGTTATATTTTTGCAACACGGATCTGCCAACAAATTGTAAATATTTTTTTAAGCTATAACATTCGATAAATTCAGCATTTAATTCTGGGTTTGAAAATATATTTTAAAGGTAAAAAAACTCTGGTAGTATTGCAATGGTCACTTGACTATCGCAATAGTATCGCAATACTAATTTTACTACCATAATAGTATTTCAATAGTAATTACACCATCACAATACTATTACACCATCACAATACTATCGTGATAGCTTTTGTGGCCACAATAGTCACCCCTGCTGTTTACCTGTTAAAGATTAGCACTCTTTCACCACCTTGGGGCCGATTTCAACTAAAGGGAGACAATTATTAAGTTACCAAAGCCTTATTGTTTATAACTTAATGATCTTTCCCCATAGGTTCACGTCTCCTTTCTCACCTCCAATGAGGTATATTTTTCTCACCGTGCTTGTCTTTGTTTACCGCATTGCTTGACATTATTGATGTGACACCATTATTGTGAAAGGAAAATCCACCTGTCTCAAATCTAAGGTTAAACCACGAAATTTCACTCCTGTGAAAGAGATGATACACCTGTCCAGGGTATTAAATAGAATACCATGATGTATCCCAGAACATTGAGGAAGATTATCTAACACATACACTGTTATGTTACAGCCTTCGTCGCTTGTAGTACAAATGACCATAGCCCAGTGATCCTGTTTGTGTCCAAAATGTTTCCTGTGGAGAGGAAAATGTTACCGCAGTTTAAGCAACGGTATGTGTATTGCCTACAAGTTACAAACAGTGTCTTCTTTCACTATATCTTAACTTTAATCCATGTAATGTCGTATTTCAAGCTATATTATCCTGTTTCTTCCATCCATCCGTCCGTCTGTCTGTCTGTCCTGCCACTGCAGTAAATGTTTAAGTTTTTATGTGTGTAATTCTAGTATCTATATCACTTTGAAGCCATATATGGCTTTGAATTAATTTTGTGAAATTTAATATCATTTGGGACTTGTATTATAAAGGGCAACATTTTTTCGGAATTTTTTTATTGAAGTCAGCCTGTTGATTTACAGCAGTGGTGTATTATTGATTTAATCCATTGAGACTTAGGGGTGTAATATTGAGATTAGGGATTTAAATTTTGAAATTTATTGTTACTCTGAACAAATACTTATAATCAAATGTTTTGATTGCATAAAAATCTTTAGTTTCAAGTTTGATTTTCACAAATCCTTTTCAATCAGCTTTTAAAGATTAAATATCATCTAATTAAACTCATTCTGGCTCATCTGTTGAGCTTTAAAGAAAGCCTTTGGTCAGTTTGTATAACTGCATCCTAATTTTCACATGCTTATGTTATCCAATGGAAATGAAACTTTCAGATTTTCTTTTTTATAATTTTTGACACTTTGCATCTGTAGGGTTCCAAATAAAGTAGCATGCAGAGCATTCATGTTGAATTTCTAGTTATAATTAGAATCAGTATTAAATAGCTAATACTATTGAAACTGTATACAATATACAGCAGACTTAGGATGTTTAAAAATTGAAAAAAATCCATTCATAATTTGATATTTATTGTTGCATGATTGCTTAACAAGGATTCCAAATATGGCAGTGTCATATAAATTAAATGAGTTAAAGGTTCTTTGTTGATGGTATTTGGTAGGTGTATATTGTTCTGATGTGTTGTATCTTGGTTTAGGTTAGAATAATTGTGTACAATATAATACAAATTTTATTTTCCAACAATTGTTAAACAAAGTTTTTCAACAATTGTTAAACAAGGTTTTTCAACATTTGTGAAACAAGGTTTTTCAACATTTGTGAAACAAGGTTTTACAACAATTGCGAAACAAGGTTTTTCAACATTTGTGAAACAAGGTTTTTCAACAATTGCGAAACAAGGTTTTTCAACAATTGTGAAACAAGGTTTTACAACAATTGCGAAACAAGGTTTTTCAACATTTGTGAAACAAGGTTTTTCAACATTTGTGAAACAAGGTTTTTCAACAATTGCGAAACAAGGTTTTTCAACAATTGTGAAACAAGCTATCAGCTTATGTTAATCACTCTTGTTGACCTGGATGGAAGTGCATTTGGAGGGGTCTTACTGTAGGATGAGTACTCAGGGAAAACCTGCGTGGTTGGGCATGTGATTCATACCTTTTCACATCCATTCCAGGAATCAAACCCTGGATGGCTAGGTGAAAAGTTGAATGTGGTACCACTCTGCTACCTGACCACCCATGTGTATACGTATTACTAAGTAATCTTATTCCCTTTCATGAACAACTAGGCCGTTAAGTGAAGCAGAAATACAACAGAGGCGGGACAAGACAACCAGCTGTGTTGAGAGAATATCAGCTGCTATATACTGGTAATAACCAACTGATTTGATTCAGATAACACTATGTATAAGACAACCAGCTGTGTTGATCTCAACAACCCTATGTACATGGTAATAACCGACTGATTTGATTCAGATAACACTATGTACAAGACAGCAACCAGCTGTGTTGATCTCAACAACCCTATATACATGGTAATAACCAACTGATTTGATTCAGATAACACTATGTACAAGACAACCAGCTGTGTTGATCTCAACAACCCTATATACATGGTAATAACCAACTGATTTGATTCAGATAACACTATGTATAAGACAACCAGCTGTGTTGATCTCAACAACCCTATGTACATGGTAATAACCGACTGATTTGATTAAGATAACACTATGTACAAGACAACAACCAGCTGTGTTGATCTCAACAACCCTATGTACATGGTAATAACCGACTGATTTGATTCCAGAAGCCTGTGACATGACAATAACCTGCAATGTTGATCCCTTTGGTCTTGTGAATGTGACTAAAATGTATTATAGATAGCAATAGCCCGTAATATGACCTTTTTCATGAATTTTTAATAATAATAAAAAATATTCTAAAAATATGTTGAGACAGAACGAGTAATCCTTGAAATTTGGTCTGAATGTTGTCAGGATCTACCTTGAGTTAACTATCATTACAGTTCATCCTTTCTAGACCAGTCCCCCGGTTGTCCGGAAACCTGAGTTTACTGAGAATGTCTGATAAATTCTCTTACTGTTGTATTATAATAGTGACGACTAGTCAAGAAGCAGCTGTGTTGGACGAGGGAGCCAAATCAGCTAATGGCATCTCAGTGGATATTAAAACCGTCTCCAAGGATACCACAGAGGAGCCCCCAACAGTTTTTGTGGCATTTGCACGAATTTATAGTGGCACAGTTAAAAAAGGACAAAAACTGTTTGTCCTGGGACCTAAACATGATCCCTCACAGGTTGGTCTGGTAATCCTATCATAGTTTCATAAAGAAAGTTCTTGTAATTAAGTTTGTGTATGACCTAGTTTGTGTATGACCTAGTTTGTGTATGACCTAGTTTGTGTATGACCTAGTTTGTGTATGACCTAGTTTGTGTATGACCTAGTTTGTGTACAATGAAAGCTGTAAACAGTAAAAACTTTTGTATTCGAGAAATCAACAAATAAACTTTCTTACTTTGATGAAAAAAAGGTTCTGATGATGAAAGACATATGCTTTTGATAACAAGAAGTCTTTTTTCAATATGAAGAAATTGTTGGTTTGTCTTTTACAATTGGAAAACATTTCTTGTAAGAAAAATTAACTATGTATGAAAAAGCCTCACCCTATATATAGCTCTGTTGTTGTGACACAGGTGGAGGAAGGAACCGTTCGTGTAGGCCAATCTGTGGTGGACCTCGGGGCTCAGGAACACATCACAGCTTTCAATGTTTCCGATCTCTTCCTGTTTATGGGGCGTGAACTAGAACACATGGAGGAGATCCCTGCTGGAAATATATTAGGTGTGTTAGGTTACTACTGGGTATTGTCATTAGAACAATGAATGGTGTATTATCAGATTCCATTAGAACTATACTGGGTTTCTCATTAAATTTGACTTAACCCATTTCCATAAAAAAAGCATCATGTGACGGTTTTAAAGGATGGTAATTATCTTTAAAGGAGAAGACCAGGAACAGTTCATGTATGTTCAATTTTCTTTTTTTTTAAAGTCATGCAAAATAACGATTTAAAGTATTATAGTATCATATATAACATCTTTAATACAATTTTACCTATAACAGGTATTGGTGGACTGGAGGACCACATCCTTAAGTCTGGGACAGTGTCCAGTACTGTCATGTGTCCAGCCTTTACTGACCTCTACTTTGATGCTTCACCGATTGTTAGGGTGGCACTAGAACCCAAGCATGCAGGTAGCTGATGACTTAACATATTCTCCACATGTATAATACTTGTATCTGATGTAACATATTCTTCCTATCTCTCCACATGTAGGATACCTGTATCTGATGTATCCTATCTCTCCACATGTAGGATACCTGTATCTGATGTATTCTTCCTATCTCTCCACATGTAGGATACCTGTATCTGATGTAATATATTCTTCCTATCTCTCCACATGTAGGATGCTTGTATCTGATGTATCCTATCTCTCCACATGTAGGATACCTGTATCTGATGTAACATATTCTTCCTATCTCTCCACATGTAGGGTACCTGTATCTGATGTAACACATCTCTCCACATGTAGGGTACCTGTATCTGATGTAACATATTCTTCCTATCTCTCCACATGTATGATACTTGTATCTGATGTAACATATTCTTCCTATCTCTCCACATGTAGGGTACCTGTATCTGATGTAACACATCTCTCCACATGTAGGATACCTGTATCTGATGTATCCTATCTCTCCACATGTAGGATACCTGTATCTGATGAAACATATCTCTCCACATGTAGGATACCTGTATCTGATGTAATATATTCTTCCTGTCTCTCCACATATAGGATACCTGTATCTGATGTATCCTATCTCTCCACATGTAGGATACCTGTATCTGATGTAATATATTCTTCCTATCTCTCCACATGTAGGATACCTGTATCTGATGTAACATATTCTTCCTATCTCTCTACATGTAGGGTACCTGTATCTGATGTAACATATTCTTCCTATCTCTCCACATATAGGATACCTGTATCTGATGTATCCTATCTCTCCACATGTAGGCTACCTGTATCTGATGTAACATATTCTTCCTATCTCTCCACATGTAGGATACCTGTATCTTATGTAACATATTCTTCCTATCTCTCCACATGTAGGATACCTGTATCTGATGTATCCTATCACTCCACATGTAGGATACCTGTATCTGATGTATCCTATCTCTCCACATGTATGATACCTGTATCTGATGTATCCTATCTCTCCACATGTAGGATACCTGTATCTGATGTAACATATTCTTCCTATCTCTCCATATGTAGGATACCTGTATCTGATGTATCCTATCTCTCCACATGTAGGATACCTGTATCTGATGTATCCTATCTCTCCACATGTAGGATACCTGTATCTGATGTAACATATTCTTTCTATCTCTCCACATGTAGGATACCTGTATCTGATGTAACATATTCTTCCTATCTCTCCACATATAGGATACCTGTATCTGATGTATCCTATCTCTCCACATATAGTATCTGATGTATCCTATCTCTCCACATGTAGGATACCTGTATCTGATGTATCCTATCTCTCCACATGTAGGATACCTGTATCTGATGTAACATATCTTCCTATCTCTCCACATGTAGGATACCTGTATCTGATGTATCCTATCTCTCCACATGTAGGATACCTGTATCTGATGTAACAAATTCTTCCTATCTCTCCACATGTAGGATACCTGTATCTGATGTAATATATTCTTCCTATCTCTCCACATGTAGGATACTTGTATCAGATGTATCCTATCTCTCCACATGTAGGATACCTGTATCTGATGTAACATATTCTTCCTATCTCTCCACATATAGGATACCTGTATCTGATGTATCCTATCTCTCCACATGTAGGATACCTGTATCTGATGTAATATATTCTTCCTATCTCTCCACATGTAGGATACCTGTATCTGATGAAACATATCTCTCCACATGTAGGATACCTGTATCTGATGTAACATATTCTTCCTATCTCTCCACATATAGGATACCTGTATCTGATGTATCCTATCTCTCCACATGTAGGCTACCTGTATCTGATGTAACATATTCTTCCTATCTCTCCACATGTAGGATACCTGTATCTTATGTAACATATTCTTCCTATCTCTCCACATGTAGGATACCTGTATCTGATGTATCCTATCACTCCACATGTAGGATACCTGTATCTGATGTATCCTATCTCTCCACATGTATGATACCTGTATCTGATGTATCCTATCTCTCCACATGTAGGATACCTGTATCTGATGTAACATATTCTTCCTATCTCTCCATATGTAGGATACCTGTATCTGATGTATCCTATCTCTCCACATGTAGGATACCTGTATCTGATGTATCCTATCTCTCCACATGTAGGATACCTGTATCTGATGTAACATATTCTTTCTATCTCTCCACATGTAGGATACCTGTATCTGATGTAATATATTCTTCCTATCTCTCCACATGTAGGATACCTGTATCTGATGTAATATATTCTTCCTATCTCTCCACATGTAGGATACCTGTATCTGATGTAACATATTCTTCCTATCTCTCCACATATAGGATACCTGTATCTGATGTATCCTATCTCTCCACATATAGGATACCTGTATCTGATGTATCCTATCTCTCCACATGTAGGATACCTGTATCTGATGTATCCTATCTCTCCATATGTAGGATACCTGTATCTTATGTAACATATTCTTCCTATCTCTCCACATGTAGGATACCTGTATCTGATGTATCCTATCTCTCCACATGTAGGATACCTGTATCTGATGTAACAAATTCTTCCTATCTCTCCACATGTAGGATACTTGTATCTGATGTATCCTATCTCTCCACATGTAGGATACCTGTATCTGATGTATTCTTCCTATCTCTCCACATGTAGGATACCTGTATCTGATGTAACATATTCTTCTTATCTCTCCACATGTAGGATACCTGTATCTGATGTATCCTATCTCTCCACATGTAGGATACCTGTATCTGATGAAACATTTTTCTTCTCTCTACATGTAGGATACCTGTATCTGATGTAACATATTCTTCCTATCTCTCCACATGTAGGATACCTGTATCTGATGTAACATATTCTTCCTATCTCTCTACATGTAGGATACCTGTATCTGATGTAACATATTCTTCCTATCTCTCCACATGTAGGATACCTGTATCAGATGTAACATATTCTTCCTATCTTTCCACATGTAGGGTACCTGTATCTGACATAGAGTACTTGTTTGCAATAACCTCTAGTAGATGTGTCCTTGGTCTCTACTTTGTCTATTTTACATTGATTTGACATTCGTTGTACCTATTGTAATAGGTGAAATGGGACACCTGGTGCGAGGACTAAAGCTGTTGAACCAGGCCGACCCATGTGTTCAAGTGTTGGTACAGGAGACAGGTGAACATGTTATCATCACTGCAGGGGAGGTCCATCTACAGAGGTGTCTAGATGACCTTAGACAGAGGTAAGTCACCACTGAAGGGTAGGTCCATCTACAGAATTGTCTAGATGACCGTAGACAGAGGTCAGTAACCACTGTTGCGGAGGGCCATCTACAAAGGTGTCTAGGTGACCTTAGACAGAGGTAAGTGACCAATGCAAGGGAGGTCCCTCTAAAGAGGTGTCTAGATGACCTTAGACAGAGGTAAGTTACCACTGCAGGGGAAGGCCATGTACAGTGGTGTCTGGATGACCTTAGACAGATGTAAGTCACCACTCTGAGAGATGTCCCTCTATAGAGGTGTTTAGGTGGCGTTGATAGAGTAAGGAACCACTGTGAGGGAGGTCCCTCTACAGTGACCTTAGATAGATGTTCGACAGTCCACTTAAATTGATTAAGTTTTATCCATTGTTTGGCTCTTTATCTAAATTTGTATTAACAAGTGCTGTTCACTTGTGTTTCCTTTGTACAATTTTTGAGTTAGCAGGCAGTAGACACTGCTGGTGGACTTTAAGTTCACCCGAAAGTTTGTTGTAAACTGCACATTGTGTTTTAATTCATTCAGATAGTGGCATGGTCCATAATATACATATGTACTTAACATTGTTTTAGAATTATGAATTTAATTGAAATATGAGGTTTGTGCACCTCCCCGTCTATATTTTTTACTTTCATTTTGATCATTTTGGATTTTCCTCAGTCGTCTCATAGGCTTCAAAAATTAGGCCCTTAGCATCACTGAAGAATCCTAGAAGGATGAAACAGCTGTATGTTGCAGTTTTATTCACTGTTTGGCTCAACTGTATCTTAATTTGAATTTGTATTAAAAAGTGCTATTCACATATGTGTCTTTTCTACAATTTTCATGGATTCAAGCCAATTTTTAAAGACCACTGGTCTTCACTTGAGCTATCAGTACATGTACTTGTTTGATTTACATTTTAGGTATGCCAACATTGAACTGCATGCATCATCACCAATTGTGCCTTTCCGAGAAACAATTATAAATCCACCTAAGACAGATATGGTCAATGAAATCATCCAGGATCAGCCAATCAAAACAGCCAAGACAAAAGAGTTTGAGGATGATGAGGAAGTTATAGAGACTGGATTGGTTGAGATATACACAGCCAATCAGAAATGTTGTATCAGAATCAGGGCTTTACCTTTACCTGAAGCTGTTACCAATCTGCTGGAGGAAAATGTGAATCTTCTCAAAACCCTTCATAGATTTAATAGAGCAAAGGTTTATGGACAGAACAGTGATGTCAAGGACACAGTTTCAGAAGCTCTTGGCCATCTTAAGTCTAGTCTAAGTAAAGCTTTTGCAGATGAAGGAAAATCATGGACAGATGTTGTAGAAAAAATCTGGGCATTTGGACCAAAGAGGGTTGGGCCCAATGTGTTGTTAAATCAGGTGGAGGGATATGATAGACCCTCGGTTTGGGACATACAGAGTTCTGAGGGACTTTTTAGGGACTTTGACAGCTCCATAGTTGGCGGCTTCCAAATGGCAACCCTTGCAGGCCCACTGTGTGAAGAGCCTGTCCGCGGAGTGTGTTTTGTGATTGAGAAATGGGAATATATTGACATGTCTTACCCTAGGATTGCTAAGTTGAGTGAATCTGACAGTGATCCAAAACTTGTTGAAGAAGATATCACGTCTGTGGAATTGAGTAGCTCATTAGAAAAATCAGTAACTATAGAGGAGGTTGAGAAAGATGTAGATGAGAAATGTAGAGACGGTGACAAAGACGATGATAATTGTGAGGAGGAAAAGGATATACCTAACCTTCAGAGGAGGAAAGAATATGGTCCGTTCTCAGGCCAGATCATCTCCTGTGTGATAGCAGGGTGTAGGAAAGCATTTCAGACTCGTCCACAACGACTCATGGTCGCCATGTATAAATGTAACATCCAGGCCACAAGCGATGTATTGGGTTAGTAAACACGTTTGTATGTTTTATATGCAACAAATATTGGTATTCTCCCCATAAGTGATCATTGGTAAGACAAAATTTAGTTATTTATATAATAGTAAGTCATTAAATACATCAAAAAGGTTTGGAAATATCAACAGTTTTGCTGCTTCTCTCTGAAAATCTAGCAAGATTCTTGTTCTGTCCTACATGAAGTCCTTTCACATGCTTTGATATGGGTTAACAAGACTGATTAATCTAAAAGGTGATAGCTAGTTTTGTAATTTTTGTAAAATAAATAAAGTTTATAGCTTATGTCAGATAAGAATTCCTTGCTTTTCATTTTTGCATAATTTCCATGCTACGGAAGTATGGTTAAGTTGTTTTTTTTTTCTCAGGTAAGTTGTATGCTGTGTTAGGAAAGAGAAATGGCAGCATATTGGAGGGAGATATGAAAGAAGGATCTCAGACCTTCAATGTAGTGGCCACCCTCCCGGTCATAGAGAGCTTCGGCTTTGCAGAGAGCATTAGGAAAAAGACGAGTGGACTGGCAAGTCCTCAGCTAGTGTTTAGTCACTGGCAGGTAGGTCCATGCCTCATATTCCATTAAGCTATGTTTCTCTTATCTCTTAGCCTTATTAAAGATCATTCATGCTCAGCTGATTTTTGCTTGAAATTTTCTTTTTTGAAAAGAGATCTCTGAAGTGAGTCACTTTATTGTTTAGGGAATTGGTAAAATGAGTCTATTTTATAGTTTAGAGATTTGTAACATCAGTCTATCTTATAGTTTACGGGAATGGTGAAGTGTGTCTATTTTATGTTGTAAGGGACGGGGAAGAGAGTTTATTCTATGTTTTAAAGGATTGTGAAGAGGGTCTATTTTAAGGTTTAAAGGATTGGTGAAGTCAGTCTATTTCATGGTGTAGGGGATTGATGAAGTGAGTGTTGTGCTATGGTTTAGGGATGGGGAAGAGGGTCTATTTTGTGAATTAGGGATTGGTTAAGCGAGTCTATTTTATGAATTAGGGATTGGTTAAGTTAATCTTTTGTTATGGTTTAGGGATGGGTGAAGCGAGTCTTTTGTGGTTTAGCGGATGGGTGACGTGAATCTTTTGTGGTTTAGGGAATTGGTAAAGTCAGTCTATTTAATGGTGTAGGGGATTGGTGAAGTGAGTCTATTTTATGATTTGGAGATTGGTAAAGCTGGTCTATTTTATGGTTCAGGCAATTTGTCTTGACAACAGTGGTCTCTGAAAAAAACAACAAAAAAAACATTTTTGCTGCTGCCATTCGCGGTTATCTTTTGGATGCTATATTGTGAGTGATCTCCCCTGGATCATTGTTTTTACACTATTCTTTACAGATTGATTTTCTGACAGAAAAAGCTTGTGTGTGTTGTGAATGTAATGTTACACAATTATGATGCAGACTTAGGGATACAACAAGTGTTATGGAACCTGAGATAAATCATTATGATGTGTGTATTGTTGTAGGTCCTTGATGTAGATCCGTTCTGGGTACCAACAACGGAGGAAGAATATCTCCATTTTGGGGAGAAGGCAGACTCTGAAAACAAAGCCCTGCAGTATGTAAATGCAGTTAGGAAACGCAAGGGACTCAAAGTAGACGAGAAGATTGTGGAACATGCAGAGAAACAGCGTACACTTACCAGGAACAAATAACGAATTCCTCATTAGGACAGACAACTAATTTGAAGTTCTGTGCTGTGACCAGCATCTTGCTGTAGGATCAGTACTGGTGAATTATTTTCTGTAGAATAATTTATTTAAATTCTGTTTCAAGAACTTTGTTATAATTGAAAGTGCGAAGTAGATTTTTACGGAATTCTTTGATTTATATTTGTTGGTATAGTATAACTTTCCTTCAAAGTAACTCTACGTTACTGTTTTTGTTGAAAAGTGACTTATGGAATAAATTATTCAAGATTTCTATGGAAAATGTTTCTTTAATTTTTATGCATAATACCGTGAAATTGCTGGCTGTTATTATGACTGCTATCACTTTGGATGGTTCTAGGTACAAAGTGGAACCTACATGAAATCAGAGAATCCTCCATGGAGTATTTCTCATTGCACTTGTTTGTCATTTTGTCTTTTTGATCAGTCCCAAATATACAATTTGCAACTACGGACCGTGGAGAGAATAAGAAAATAATGCATCTAGTACTTCTCAAGGATTAGTGGTATCAATCTAAAAGAACCACAATTGAATATGAATGCCAGTTGACCATTTTATGTTTTGTATCAATTTCAAAATATTCATGACATGATGAAGAACCAACAGGAAACGTTAAATGAAATATATAATAGATTCGCTCAGTCAGTCTCAATAAATAGAACACAGGTGGGTTGGGGAAGTGTTGATTTTGATTGTTCTGGGACTGTTAAAGTAGTCTTAAGGAAATTGGAAATTAAGACTGACATTTTCACTTAATAAGCAATCTAAAAATAACCACAATACCATTATTACATATCTTCATTGTTCATTAAAATGGAAATTTCTAGGTTATTGACGAAACCAATACTGTTATCATTATTTGCAATATAAACCAACCTATTCAATTAGCAATATATTACAATATGTGGCAGGAGAAAAGACATGAGAGAGACAAGAAAATAAATAAATAAATTTTATTTCACTTGTTAAGCGATCATGCTCGTGACAAATGGTGATGCTTGCATTGTTGTTGGCCATGCTATTTTACAGAAACTCTAATGAAGCCGATCTCTCTTTATAAAAATCAAATATACACTTTCCATACACCCAATCTCTAGAAAAGTTCAACACTTTCATGGTTGTCACAGCTGAAATTACTTCACACTATGCAAACAGTGACATTTAAGATCCAGTTAACTGACTCAAACATTCATTTCTGAAACAACCAACATTTACAATATTTATATAACACAATATTTTTTTTACAATTTTTTCATTCCACAAAAATATTTCATGCATACATGTATCCCATTTGCAAAAAATGTCAACAAATCTGGCAAACTTGTAACAAGGTACAACAAGGTACATGTGCCTTGTTCATAATATTTCAAATAAAACTTTGAAAATGTCATTTCACACCGACATGGTACTGTTAGCATCTGTGCCTCACAGAAGTAAAAAATACATGCTTCATGCTTTTTTCTCATCTTTGTGCTTTGATTAAGATGCAGACTGTGCTTCCATGGGTGCACTTGATTCTGGCATTTAAAAAAAAAATATTTGTAGTCAGGTATATGCTTGCCACTGGCACACTACATTCAAGCAAAGTGGCTGCAATATACACAGCAGTTTAAAAAAAAACTAGAAAAGTATGTGTAAATCATAAATACGACTTTACTCAATGAAATACCAAATCACGCTATTTATTACCCTCATCCTTCTACTTTAGTCGTTACCATAGTACATACCACACTGCCTGGCTCTCTGACTTTTATATCACCCGCAGCATCCTTCTACATCACTCTTGTCCTTCTACTGCCTGACTCTCTGATGTTAGATCACCCTCATCCTTCTACTGCCTGACTCTATGATGTTAGATCACCCTCATCCTTCTACTGCCTGACTCTCTGATGTTAGATCACCCTCATCCTTCTACTGCCTGACTCTCTGATGTTAGATCACCCTCATCCTTCTACTGCCTGACTCTCTGACTTTACATCACCCTCATCCTTCTACTGCCTGACTCTCTGACTTTACATCACCCTCATCCTTCTACTGCCTGACTCTCTGATGTTAGATCATACTCATCCTTCTACTGCCTGACTCTCTGACTGTACATCACACTCATCCTTCTACTGCCTGACTCTCTGACTCTACATCACCCTCATCCTTCTACTGCCTGACTCTGACTTTACATCACCCTCAACCTTCTACTGCCTGACTCTCTGACTGTACATCACACTCATCCTTCTACTGCCTGACTCTCTGATGTTAGATCAAACTCATCCTTCTACTGCCTGACTCTCTGACTGTACATCACCCTCATCCTTCTACTGCCTGACTCTCTGATGTTAGATCACCCTCATCCTTCTACTGCCTGGCTCTCTGATTGTACATCACCCTCATCCTTCTACTGCCTGACTCTCTGATGTTAGATCACCCTCATCCTTCTACTGCCTGACTCTCTGATGTTAGATCACCCTCATCCTTCTACTGCCTGGCTCTCTGACTTTACATCACCCTCATCCTTCTACTGCCTGACTCTCTGACTTAAGATCACCCTCATCCTTCTACTGCCTGACTCTCTGACTTAAGATCACCCTCATCCTTCTACTGCCTGACTCTCTGACTTAAGATCACCCTCATCCTTCTACTGCCTGACTCTCTGACTTAAGATCACCCTCATCCTTCTACTGCCTGACTCTCTGATGTTAGATCATACTCATCCTTCTACTGCCTGGCTCTCTGACTTAAGATCACCCTCATCCTTCTACTGCCTGACTCTCTGACTTAAGATCACCCTCATCCTTCTACTGCCTGACTCTCTGACTTAAGATCACCCTCATCCTTCTACTGCCTGACTCTCTGACTTAAGATCACCCTCATCCTTCTACTGCCTGGCTCTCTGACTCTACATCACCCTCATCCTTCTACCGACTGGCTCTCTGAACCAGCTGGAGGCTTCTTGCTATACCCTTATGTGCTGTAATTACTGCTTTGCCACTGGCACACAAGACTTAAGTGCACATTACTGAAAGTGACATTTGTATTGTCTCCAGGCTTACAAACATGTTACTGCCAATTTCACTTTCCTAGGTATGTTAATTCTCTTATAATGTATGACTTGATTATGAAATGGATGTTTTTGCCATTCTAAGTATTGATTCCTACTTTGATAATGTACAATAATTCTCATTTTAGTGCACATGTACCAAAATAAGAAAATGTAGAAAATTAGCTAGCTAGCTATTGTTAACAGAACTAATACAAAATCAGAAAATTATTGAAACCTTGACAACATAAACATTTACATTTTTAATCAGAGGAGAAATACATACAAAGTAAGAACTCTAACATTGTTTGAATAGTTCATTTATGCAAAATCTCGGTAAGAATACATATTACCACGTATAAATATTCTAATTACCTGTAATTAAACATTTCTCTTTGACTTCAAGTGATGTAAAACAAACGATAAGACACAGTTAAGCCACGAAAACATCAAAAAATGACATCACAACTTGTTTTCAACAAAAAGAAAAAAAATTCACAATAAAATTCATATGTTCTGAATGTCTTTGATCAGATGGGAGAATTTTTTTGTTTTTATTTAAAAGAAGAATGATACCAAAGAAACCTCTACCCCCAGGTGAGATTCTTGAGTGTCTTTATTTTTTATATAAAGCAAAACCATGAGGAGATAATCACCTTGTTTAGTTTGAAAAGTCTCCATCACACCCTTGCCTTAATGCAGTGATCATGACATGAATTATAAAGGCTAATCTTATCAACCAGCTGCCTAAATTATCAACTGACTTTAAATTTGATCTATAATCTCTTTGGGTAAAGGTGGTTCTTTCAAACAAATAGTTTATACAAATACATACTGTACAGGTTTAGAATAGGATAATCCTACTTAAGGTACCTATGTGGCTAATCCACTGATACAAATTTCATGATAAAGCAATCTAGTCTTCGGTATTTAAGCAGAAGTATTACAGAATTGTTGAAACAGACAAGTACAGGGTACAATAGGGGAAAAGGATGTACTGGCCAGTCCCAACTAAAGCACCTCGTAATACATGTAGTAGACTAGATTAGGTAGGTAACTGGTGGGACGGTAGGAATCAATTAAGGTCAAAGGTTAACAATATCATACAAATGAATCATGTTGAGGTTAAAGGTCACCATATTACAATATGATACCATATAACATGTCAATTTAATGATTCTAAAAGTAAATTATTTACTCTTAGAGACCATAATCTTTTTACAGAATTTAATTTTCTGGTATTTACACAGACTCTTCAATTATTTTTGCAAATCTGGTCTTCTTAATTCACAAAGTATAGTCAGGTCAAAGGTCAGAAAGTATGGCAGCACTGATGATGTCACAGGCCAAATGTGGGGTCAGAGGCCAGCATTCACAAAGTCTGTCCTGGGTTGAGGTGTATTACATACATTTTAGCCAGTGGATGTTTGGACATTGTACTGACAATTTAATAGTCCATGCTTAGAGGTGTTCATATTAACAGACTATTTGTATAAAGGCTTGAACTGGATAATACCCAGGTTTTGAGTGGAATGATTGAGGATCTCTTCCTGTTTAAATATATCTATAGTGTCTGGGTACAACTTGTACTCGTGAGCTCCTTCATTAACCCTCAGTAGCAGTAATTCTCTATCTGTACAGTCTGACCACTGGTCAAGAGGTGGGGAATATATTCTCCATTTATCAAACCAGTGATGGACAATAAACCTGTGTCAGGTAGTAAGACATCCGCATCTACTGGAATTTTAGCAGAAATGACAATTGCTCTGTACTAAACCCATTCCCTTACTCTAATTTTGTGGTTGTTTTCTTTTGCAACCTGGGTTTATTGTCAGATAAATACCGAAATTACCAAGTCTACTGATAGTGTAGAATTAAATACTCCAGGACTTCTAAATCATCAGTAATGTTAAAACATACACAGGATAAAGGTTTTTATCTGTAATCCTGCCACCTCACCTTTTGTTTTAGTAGATTTTTACCAGTAGTTGTTTCTGTGATTGACTTACAAAATTTGGACATGTAGCTGTAGGTAAACAAGTACATTAGAATCTTGGTACTCCAAATTTATCAGTCAGGGGTGGAAAGGAGAAGATAGATTTATAA